TTGCCTGGGTACCAGCAGCCCATTTTCCAAAGTACTGAATGCAAGTTGGGACCTTAACAGGAACCATTTGGCTTGTCCATGAGTCTGTCATTGTTCCAGTTGGATTACGAGCAGAGGCACACGAGGAATCACTGCTAGGTCTAGGAAGACCCTAAGAATGCCTTTGAAGTCCACGAACGAGGTGACAGGGCAGGTGAGATCTTAGATTCATTCCTTCTCTGGGCCCAGGTTTCTTTTGGTGTTGGCTGGACCAAAAGAAACTCCCCTGGCCCACCTCTAGGGCTACTTGTGCCTGACGCAGGAAGCGCATCCCTCATCTATGTGAACCACCGAGGTTCTGAGTTACTCCCGTTTATTACTCCTGTCCCTGGAAGCAGTTTCCTCTTTATTCAGCATTTCCAGAGAGCCGTGTCAGTTGACCATTGCTCTTTGAAGTTTTCAGTTGGACTTAAATGTTTATCATGTGTGGACAAGTGCTTGTGAGGGCTTTTACTTTTCATAAGTCATGTCTCTCAACTGAGGCCTTTTGATGGTAACCAACTTGGGACTTCGGATCAAGGTTCTTAATTTGAGACTTTTTTATGTCACTCTGCATTATCATACTTATTAAAGAACCAACCTTGGCTTTACTCCTGATGAACCACCAACGGGCTACTTGCTATGTCCCAGTTGTCCACAGCCACTATGTCATGCATACCGGGAGTGGGCTTTGTGTGGCCCTGGCGTGATAATCCAGTTGCCTTTCACTGCCTTTGGCAGCCTCTTCTACAGGACTGACTTTGGCTGGGCACATGTCTGTGTAGAGAGGAAAAGCGAAGAGTTCTCCTTGCTATGGCCTTGTGAGCAGGTGGGAACACAGGTGTCAGTGTGTCTGAGTGTGTATTCAGTGGTCCTGTGAGTTGCTACAGACTGGGTTATGGAGTAGCAGTTCATTTTGGTTCACAGTGACCACCCATGTGTGTCAGTGTAGGATTTTGCTCCATAGGGTTTTCAATGGGAGATCTCTCCAAAGGAGATTGTCAGGCCTTTCTTCTGGGGCATCTCTGGAGAGACTGAACGATGTCAGTCTTTTACTAAGTAGCTCAGTGTGTCAACCATTTGACTTCTGACAGCAGTGGAGCTCTGGCTTTGGCAGTCCAGGAGCAAAAAAAACCAAAACACCCTGGACAGTGATCTCATAGTGGATAGGAATCATTTGTTCGTGTCTGCTGTCTCTAGCATGGTGCAGCAGTTGGCATGTTGGAGAAAAACATAAGTATTTGGTACATGTTAGAAGTGGCATGGCAAATAGCAATAGACTGCACAATGAAGATTCTACTTCTAAGGAGAATAATATAAGCCAAGAATAAAGCCTTAGATCATAGATTGCTTCCCAAATCCCAACCAGTGGATGTCTTTCATTTGCTTCAGCTACAAACACATGCCAGTGCTGATTCCAGTGTTTAAGGGACAACACCTAAAACTGCAATGTGTGAATGACTTGCTAGACGTCCTACCTAAAAGTGGCACTTGACCTGGCTAACAAAAATACAAAGTAGGAGCAATTCACTGGGAACTTCTTAACACCAAATACTTTTGTGATATGAAAACATAAGCCAAAGAATGTGCATTTTAAAATCTTGGCTCCCTGATTTCTCACATCATTTCCAATGACCTAGTAAAACAAATAAACAAACAACAACAACTCCAAACTCATTACAATTGCCCCTATTAACCCCGAGTGATCCTATAGGACAGGTAGAACTGCCCCTGTGAGTTTCTGAAACCGTAAGTCTTTATGGGGGTAGAAAGTTTGAAGAACTGAAAGAATACTCTGGTCATTAAAAATCCTATTTGTTGACTAGGAAACTTCTCCTTAGGAAATGTTCAATGAAACAGCAGGATAATACAAAGGATCTTCAAAAAGTTCATAGAAGTTTACGTATTATGAAAAAACGGTATGTTTAAAAAATGTTACTGCACAATAAACTAGTACTTGTTACAACATGCCTGAGATTATAGTTTGAGATTATAGGAAGGATAAGACATCAATTTGAAACGAGCAACATGACTCCTGATAAAATGGAAGCAAGCATCACATTTATGGTGAAGCTTACTCAGCAGAATGGTGAGATCATTGATGCCTTCGAAAAGTTATGAGGATAATGCCCCCAAAGAAATCAGCCATTTACCAGCAGATAACTCATTCTAAGGAGGGAGGAGATGGTGTTGAAGAGGAAGTCCCCAGTGGCAGACCATCCACATCAATTTGCAAGGAAGCATCCTTCCATGTTCCTGCCTCATTGGAAAAGACCGCCGATTCCCAGCAGAAATAGTAGCCCACACCATCGATCACTCAATCGGTTCGGCCTACACGATTCTGACTGGAAAATTAAAGGGGAATGAACTTTCTGCTCGACAGGTGTCCCAAATAGTTGCACCCAGATCAGCCACAGAGAAAAGCCGAACTGACAAATGACAATTTTAGAAAAGTGGGATCAAGGCTTTGAAGCATTTCTTGGAAGAATTGTGATAGGAAATTTAATATGGCTTTCCTAGAACAATCATAAAGACAATGCCCAATCAAAGAATTGGTTCCCGAGATGTGGAAGTGGTTCAGTCAAAGAAAAAACTTTGGAGCAAAAGTGATAGCAAGAGTTACTTGGGGGCTGTTCAGGGTATTTTGTTTGCCTGAGTTCTGGAGAGCCAACGAATGACAGTATCCACTGATTGTGAGAGTGTTTTGAGAAAGTGAAACGCTTCAGCAGAAAAGTGCACTGGAGAGGTGCACCAGAGGCCCTTCTCCACCGCGACAATGTGCCTGCGCATTCCTTCCTCACCTCAAACAAGGACAATGGGATTAGAATGTGGGTGGAAAGTCATTAGGCATCCACCTTATACTGCTGATTTGATACTTGCCTTCTTTTGTTTCCTTAAAACAATCTTTAAAAGGAACATGTATTTCTTTAAAAAAAGTTTTTAAGCCATCGGTTAAACTCGACCCATTTATAATCATGAATATAATCTTGTATCTCCTGAGGAAGAAACATAGCACTCTGATGACTACGACATTCCATAGAGAAATCTTAATCTTTGGTCACAGGAACATGTATTTCTTAAGTTAGTTAAATAAAAAAGATGTACTGTTATGGTTAAATTTTCCAGGATCCTTAGTTTTTTAAGGATGGACTAATTGGCTGGTATCATTGCTTACAAAAGTGTCTTGACCTTGTTGGAGCATATGTTGAGAAATTGATATTTTTAATTTTTATCCTTTACTTCCTTTTTCCACAAACTTTTCAAAGCCCTCACATCTCTCTCTCTCTCTCTCTCTCTCTGTATATATTCATGTATACATATACATATGATATGCATACCCGAATTAACATTTTTCTTAAAGGGTATAACAACATTGGAAGGAAACACACCAGACATTAACAAGTGGTGGTGATCTTCCCCCGATTGTTCTACTTTTCTGGGTAATTTCTCCCTGTTTCTGTAGGACAATAAATCATTTATAGAGAAAATAATGACTGCAAGCTGTAAGGGTTTTTGCTAGTAAGTCTGCAGCAGATTGCTTTCTCAGGAAACAGAAATTCTCTCAGGTTTCCATAGGAATTGCCTCCGTACACTAATAACGCTTCTCCCTCCATGTAAGATCAATTTACATCGTGATTTCACAGTGCTTTACATTTTATCATCTTTCAGGAAGGAGGGGAAGGCTGAGCCCTCTTAGAGGTCCTCTGAGTAAGGAGTTGATGCAAAAGCCCCTGCTGACTGAGCGGCGCCCCCAGTCTTGGAACCCCCGGTGCCATTGCGGCTTTACAATGAGCGTAGGAAGCAGGGCGAGGCGTCCAGGGGATGCCCTGTCTGCGCAGTGAACAGGTGGCAGTCAGACAATGGGCCTGGCAGAAGACGTGCCGGAGCACCCTCTGTGAGGAGGTCCTGAGTAAGAGCCAGGTGGTGAGAATGGGGAAGAGGCAATAGGGGTTCGTGTGGGCAGGGTCAGTGGGCTCCTGCCCTGCTTGCCCCTCCAGAATCTTACCATCATCACCTCTCGTCTCTAAGTCTCCCCTGCGCCAGCACTGGGAAAGTTGCTGAGGTCAGGGGTGTCTTTCGTCTCTGTATCCCCAACATCGCGTGTGGCTATTAGCACGGCAGCCAGCCATAGCCTATCATTTAGCATCAGTGAACATTTCCCAAGGGAAGGAGGAGAAACCCTTTTATGTCTGTGCGGAAGACATGAGCCTTTTGAGTCACCTCGGACTCTTGAGGTGAAGCACTGTGGTCAAGAGGTCTGGGCGTAGCCAAAGCTTTTCATTCTTGTGGCGCTCCATTTCTGTCCCTGTAACCTACGATTCTGACCTACTCTGGAATGGTCTCTTAGGGTCTCCTTGCGGCTGCTGTGCTCTGATTTGTGAGGAGAGGTCTGTTTGAACCAAGCAGCTTGGATGGAGAAAAAAGTATGCCACAAGACAGGCTTCATATGATTCTCATCACTTTGCCAACCCGAGCCTTGTCAACCTTGACCAACTATTGCTTCCTATCACTGTAGATGAGAGTCTTGAATTTCTATCTCCTGAGCCACTCCTTGCTGCTGCTGTTTAGAGAGCCTTCTTGATTTATTAATCAATTAATCAGTGCATGCCGAGGAGCTGTTCACAGTAGTTAAACAGGGAAACAAAATACTGGAGCCCGTAATCAAGATGGATCGTAATTAAGAAGGACCCTCCTCCTGCCAGCGGTCTTCCTGCCACCCTGGCTCCTCATGCATCCTCCCACCCAGAACTCATCAAACCCAGCACAGCCCTGACGGGGCTTCCGCCCATAAAAGCTGAAAGCAAATTGTAGAAGAGCAGGCTTCCTCCTAATATCCTGGAGAAAAATGAGCCTTAAGATGAGCCTTGTAAATTACTCCAAAAGTTCACCCCGCCCCCTACTCCCACCCCAGATAGAATGCGGGCTGGCCATGTTGACCGATAGGGGAATCTCCTTCCTTTATTTCCTACAAACACAGAACCATGGAGCTGGGAGGACCTTACTACTCAGTGAGGCCGTGGCTGTGTGTTACCCACGAAAGGTTCAGGATTGAATAAACTGTCCAAGGTCACACGCTAATTCGTAGTAATACTGGAATCGGAACTCAACTATTTTAATATCCAATTAACTTTCCTAGTGCTCTTTTTCTCGGTGAAATTCTGGTATTCTTTTGTCTGGTAAGCACTGGACTGCTAATTGTAAGGTCAATGGTTCTAACCCACCAGTTGCTCCTTGGGAGAAAGATGTAGCTGTCTGCTCCCATAAAGATTTACAGCCCCGGAAACCTTATGAATCGGAATCAACTCCATGAACGTGGGTTGGTTCGTTTATAATATATAGACAGCAAATTAGAGTACACTAGAGAAGTCGGCTTCATGAATTTATTTTCTGATGTCTTATAGAGAAAGGCCTTGGGGCTACAGACACGTTTGTATCCCTTTTGATGACATCGAGGGGAAAGTATGTTGGGTTTTACCAGGGACACTGCTAGGGACATCGCCTACATGCTTACAGCTATGACTAGCCTGTCCTGGGCAAATGATGGGCGTGAGCTAATCTGCAAAGACTTGCTGGGCTGCTGGGCAGAAGCTATTGGGTTTGCTTTTCTTTGGATGGCACTTAGGACTTTTAAGACTAGACTCTTGGCTCTAGATCCCCTCCATCTCTTACTGGGAAGCCATGGCTATGGGGAAGCCAGTCCAGACTGCCTGTACTTGCCCCCCACCCTGCCTGTTGAACAAGTGACTGCCTTCATCCTGGGGAGGCTCTCCATGGGTCTGTCATTCATTAGTGGACACAAGAAGAATCCGGTGTGTGCTCGTTTCTCCAGCAAAGCTGCATACTAAGATAAATATTGTTTAACTCTTTAAATTCTTCATGTTTGTTCATCCTGTTATGTGTTCACATGTGTTAAATGCGTTTGTGATCATAGAGGCTTTTCTGCCTCTCTGTGTTCCCATTTCTGCTGGATGTCAATCAAGCAAACTCTTGGGATCCATCGAGGGCTTAACGCATAAAGCAGATACGCAAATTGAACTGGAGTTGTAACCACTCTTCATTTTCCTTCAGGACCCTGCTTTCTCCGCTGTGATTCATGACAAACTCCAAGTCCCCAACACCATCCGGAAGGCGTGGAACGACCGGGACAACCGCTGTGACGTTTGTGCGACGCACCTGAACCAGCTGAAGCAGGAGGCCATCCAGATGGTGCTAACCTTGGAGCAGGCAGCAGGCAGCGAACACTGTGATGCCTCCCCTAGCTCCCCCCCAGCCCTCTCCAACATCCCCGCCCTGGTGGGAACCCGGCACGTGGGTGGGCTCCAGCAGCCCCGGGACTGGGCCTTTGTGCCCGCCCCCTGCGCCACCTCCAACTACACAGGCGTTGTCACCAGTAAGCATAGCAGCAAACCCAACAGCCTGGCTGTCAGCAATGGGGCAGAGAAGAAGAGCGGGTCACCAACCCACCAGGCCAAAGTCAGTCTGCAGATGGCCACCAGCCCCAGCAACGGGAACATCCTCAACTCGGTGGCCTTCCAGGCTCACCAATACCTCGATGGCACATGGTCCCTGTCAAGAGCCAATGGGGTCACCCTGTACCCTTACCAGGTAAGTGGCCTCGGTACGCAGGGAAGAACAGGTCAGTGGGAGTCAGACAAAGTGTGTCGCCCTTCATGGTCGTGCTTTCCTCTTCTGGGGATGCCGCAGTCCAGAGCCTAATGCCTCCACGCCTCCTCCCGGGCCCTCATCCCCCTGCTAGGATCGTCCGTCTAGGCCTGCTTTCTCTGAGAGTGTGCCTGCTGGACTCCTGCCCTCTCCCTGCTCAGAGTCTTTGAAAGACTCTGCTGAGCCAGGCAGTGCAAGGGCTCCCCAGCTCCTGGTTTTACCGCGGGGCACTCTCATTGAGAGAATGGGCTCTGAGGATCCATGACCTGGGGTTTGCTAGCTCTGTGACCTTGCCCAGGGACTTGTCCTTGCTCAGGCTGAAATCCTTCATTTCTAAATGGATGTCCTGGGATCGAGAGTTAAATAAGATAAGGAATATAAGCCATTTAGTCCAATGTCTGACCTATAGTCAGGGATCAACGTACAAGTCATCATTTTGTTATTTCGCTACTGTGGTTGTAACAGAAACTGACATGAGTGAAAGATTTTTTTTTTTTTAATCCGAGGTTATTTGGGATCCCCTGGAGTCAGCCCATGGGTAGGTTTCAACAGTGAGGAATAAACTCTATGAGGAGGAACCCGTGTTAGCCTACTGTTTCCGTTGTCAGCCCCTCTCAAAGAAAGGCAGACTCAGACCCCAGCCTCTCCTTCCTAGACGAGCTTCTCCCTCTTCTGGTTCAATCTCACCTTAAGCACTGCTGCAGTTGGATTGTGAAAGGTATCTTTTCTCATTTGTTGAAATTAGCACATACCCAGAAGCTTCCCTGTGGAAATGACAAAGCAGACCTTACACCAATATATCAGAGTATCTAACCATTATTCTCTGAAAACGTTCCTGGGTCAGTTTCCCAGAGGAGAGTTGGGTCGGCTGTATCTGCTCCTCACTGTCCCGGAATCATGTGAGAAGTCGCAGAAAATATAGGCCATCTCTTTAGACTGCAAAGGTGGCCAGGGTCTTGGGGGAATGAAGAACTTAAATGGGCAGGTCTGATTGCCAGGCCACCGACTCACAAGGCTCTCAGGCTGGCCGATAGGCGGTGGCTCAGTTTAAGACTCAGAAGTCAGGTGAAGACCAGCCACTTGCAGGAGCCACAGCAAGGGAGGGAACTTTGCCAGGACATTCTTATATGTTGGCAGCAGACCACACCTTGGAGGACATGTGAGTCACACTCTCTAGCAAGGTGACAACCCACAATCCTCCCACCCGCCTCCTGGCTCCTTAGCATATCACAGCAATGGGACCTCCCCACAGGCAGAGAAGCTAGGGTTTACAAATGTACCCCACAGTGGAGGCTGTTAGCCACAGGAGCCCCGCCAAGTGATTCGCTGCACCACACTCAGCTTTCCGTTACGTCCGGTGAGGGGTGGCGGTTTTCTCTGGGATGCGATGACACGCCTCTAGTGGTATCACCATGTCCCACTGGGCTCAGCGTCCTCCGTCAGCCAGGACGAGAGTTCTGCAGTCTGCCAGGCACTGAGGGGAGAAGACGACAGGGCCTTGGGCCTCCGCATGGAAGAGGCCTGTGTAGCTTCTACCCATGTTCCTTTGGCAAAAGGCCAGTCCTCCTATGCCTGGTGGAAAAAGAAATGAGCTGACTGGGTTTCTGCCTTTGCCACGTGGGCAGATGTATGAGGGGACCTAAAATGAGGTAAGTGTGCCAGGTCAGATTCTTCGTGGTTTTCCTAGAGTGCTGAAGAGGGCCAGACAGATGATGTCTTCTCAATATGGTGAGCGATAAAAAAGGAAAAGGGGGAACATTGATTGCCACCCTGAGATTGCCTGACTCTTCATCTACTGGGTGCTTTGCATGTTACGGAATTACAGCATGCGTATTGTTTTATTTAGCTGCAGAAAGGCCTGTGAGGTAAGCAGGGCAGATGTGTGGTCTTCCTGGTAGAGAGGCAACACATTGAAAGGTCCGTGACCACACAGCCCACGACAGAACCAGAGATGGCTCTCTCCTCTCCTGAGGCCACGCTTCCCGCGCCTCCCCCTGGTCCCATAGAAGTTTCCAGCCGGCATCAGCAGATGGAGTTTTATTTTTAGAGCCTGCCTCAGCAGAGGAAAGACTTCTGTTTTGACTGGCTAGCAGGGGTCTTGCTGCCCCTTTCTCTCAGGTGGAATTTCCAGGGTTGTGTATGGATGAGGCATCTAGTCAAATGCTAGAAAATAATATAGGCAGGAGCAAGGCAGGGCTTCTTCCCGCCTCTAACAGTGTGCTTCTTTCCTCCCACGGTTTCACACTTCAAAATGGTTCATCAACTCAAAATACACCCTTTTTAAACTTATGGAAAAGAGTGCATGTCTGTTACACAATTAAATAAAAATATATGAGAAGGTTCAATAAGGTTTTAAAATCAACATCATCTAGACCCAACTAGGCAACATTTGTGTATATTTCTTCTCTGTGTTTTATTGAAGTGTGATCACATTCTATTCTGTGATTTTTTTAACTTAATATATTGGGTGAATTTTCCCACACCCTTATTAATGTTCTCAATAGACTCTTTAATGGTAGCAGACTATTCCATTTTATGCATTTGTTCTAATTTATATAACCATGCCTCAGCTACTAGAGCATAGATAGCGCCTCTCCTCTTTGATACTATAAATAGAACGCTCTGGTGAGCATCCTTTTGGCCAGGTCATGCTTTCACATCCTCGGAGTGTGCTCTCCACACGCTCATATGTCAGAGAACATTCACCTTTTTGCTTCTGCAGCCCCAGAGCCCTTGCAGCATGTATCAAGTGATGGTTAGCGGATGGGTTCAGTGATTCTCAGCCAGCAGGCTATAGGCACACCCAGCCACCACTTGTCTCTCTGTGGGGGGTTTACATGCTGCTTCGGTGTACAGCAGGATTCAGCGGCACATCCACCCTTTGAAGACTATGAAGAAAAACCTGGTGATCAATCTGAAAACTAATCAATGAACAAAAACTGTGGATCACCACGGTGGTGATCTTGTTGTGCGTGGGGTCATGATGGCCAAGTGCCAACTTGCTGGCAGTTCCCAACCAAGGGCCCTTGACTGTGCTGGGTGCTGGGCTGGAGCTCCGGTCTTGTGATCACAGCAAGGGGAAAACGGTACAACTGAGCTCGGGTGAGTGAGCATTTAGAGAGATGTGGGAGGTGCCTGAGAGCTTGCAGAAGGGTTTGTAATCCAGTCTGTGGGGCAAGAGTGGGTGGGTCAATAAGACCAAACTCACTGTCACTGAGTTGATATTGACTCATAGCAACCCTATGGAGAAAGTAGCATTGCCCCTGTGAGTTTCTGAGATTGTAACTCTTTATGGCTGGTGGTTTTGCTTTGCTAACCTTGTATTTACCAGCCAACTCTGAGCTCCTAAAAGTGGGTAGAGGAAGGGGTTTAACTTCAAGTAGATCCAGAGGTGCTTCATGCCAACAGTAACCCGAGATTGTCCTGGGTGAATCTTATGGCTGGCGATCCCTCTGGATAAAGGGACCTGGCACTCGGCTATGAAGCAGTGCCCCCTGTGCTATGCTTTTATCATCCTGGTGCCCTGACAGGAAGGCTCCGTGTCTCCTATTGCAGACATCAGCCAGGAGTCACTATACCTAGTTCACGGTTTCACCAACTCCTTAGAGATGGCTGGCTGCCCTGGAAACCGACCTCACTTTTCCTGCCTATCCACACTCACACCTCCCTTTCCACAGAGCAGATGACTGCTGGATTCATGTTAGCGCTGTGGCTCCGGCAGGGAAGCATCTAGACTTGGTCACTACCAGGGGTGCTGCTCGACCGCCACAGAGCCAGCAGCCCTGGAAACAAGGGGGCTGACGAGGACACTGCCCTTTTGCAGTCCAGGTGCAGTGAGGAGGAAAGGGATGAGGAGGATCTGCTGGCAGGCAAGGGGAAACCTCGTTTGGGTAACTGGGTTTTAAAAAGCCCACAAGGGTGTGGGAGACCTGGTAGGGCAGGATCAAGGGGAACGTAACAAAGAGGAAATGCTGAAATCCTGGTGGGGACTGAGCATGATAGTGGGACAGGAGGAGAATCAATGGAAATAGAGGAAAGAGCTGGGAGGCAAAGG